TATCTTCAGTTGAAATTTGTTGTGATTTTAATTATTCCTATTAATAAAATAATAAATCGAACTTGATTAGAGACCACCAAATATTAATACAAAATTTAATTCTTACCAAGAAATTGAACATCATTTTCTTATAGCTTCTTTAGTATATCAAATATCTTTGCTGCGTGGATTTAAGACAATACTACAATTTGCAAATGTAAATGCAATTATCAAAGGTTTCAAACAGACTTCTTTATCTTCTTTAGGTATAGCCTTTATGATAATTGTATTGATCGTTAGAAGTCCAGTGTCATCGAATTTTCACAAACTGGTGTATGCTTTGGCAACTCATGGGTTTTTCTTCCATTCAATAATTTTTATACCTGCATTTGCTTTTATTTTATAAACTTCAGAAAATACTTTGAAAAGTGTCAGTCGTATATCTTTGGCAATGGCACTTCAACGATAACGCATTTTTTCAAAACACTAATATGAAATCCAAATAAAAAATACAATACATAATAAAGTTTGTAAGAATAATATAATAAATGATATCATGAAACAATACTTACAATAGTCATAAATTCTGAATAAAAATAAGAAATCCCAATAATATTTTCCAATATCTTTAATATATCCCTTAGAATACTTTTCAACGTAACTTTCAAGATGTCCTTTAAATAGCTCTACAGTAAGGTATAAAGTTATCTTTTGTATATCCTTAATAATCGCGATGATACCTTTCTATTAAATTAAAAGTTTTACAAAATGAAATAAAGTTAAAATTTAAAAAGAATTATCATAAGATGCAGTATTACACCTGTTAAAGAAAAATTCATAAGAATTTTTCTTTGTCAATCAGCAAATTAAAAAATCTTTATTTATTGCTTACATCAAAAAAGTGGATGACAAGCCATCTTCGCGTTGTAGTTTTGATAAAATCTTCATAATTTTGTCAAGCTTTTTATCTTATTTTAGTTGATTCTTCCAGATAACTTTGTTTTATCCATTTAATTTTTCTAAAAATTCCACAGAAACTATATAACATTCATTACAATTTCCTAAATTGAGAAATAAAATAAAAAATAAAAATTAGAAAATTAAAATCCTTGGAATGCATACAGGTCAGATTTTAAAAATGGTATAATGTACCAACTACAATTTTCTTGTTTGTTTGTGTTGGTATAATATCATCCATATCATGTTCGCATTTTCTTGAAGTTTCTAAATCAGAAGATAAGTGATCTTGTTCATCATATTTTGTTTCAATGTCTTTAGAATTGTTAAAATCATCATTTTTATTTATAGGTTGAGGTTGGTCATATAGTTCCAGAGAACAATCATCACCATCTCTTTCTTTATTGAATCTCTGTCATCTTATTCATTTTGATATTCACTTAGATTGATTTCTGAACTTTTTGTTTTACAATTTTGACATATTTGATTGGAACTGGTTGATTGCGATCTTTTAGAAAAACCTGTAAACGATATTGAAACAATTTTATAA